ATTTGACATTCAACCTTACATGGGAAGTTAATGCAATTTCGTACCCATTCCCAAGCTTCAAAGACTTGAACCAAACGAGCCCTAAAGCTAAAGCCTTCCGAGTCTAGAGGGACACGCGCGGGGTGATACAAGAATCAGAAAACTAAATAAATGAGATAATTAATAGTTACTTCAAGAATTGTGGAGTTAATGTCAAGAGTCCTTATTTGTCTTAGGAAACCACAACCTCTTTAAGTTCTCTTCTTTTGTTATTTCTAGAAGTTATTAAGTGCTCCATTTGAAGCCTATAAATAAGGTTATATGCTGTGAAGCAGCTCAGATTTGATTGAATGAAAGTTTGAGCGTTTGTTTAAGGCTAGGTGCCTTGTTATCTCTACTACCTTCCTTTCTCTCGTCTACTAAACACTTCTCTATTTCTCTGTTGTCTCCATAATTACTCCAATCCTAACCTTCTTTGTTCTCTAAAAATTTCTACCTCTTCAAATTTCTATCATCCTAAGCCCACCATAACTATACCCAAACACCCAACTCTGTGCTCTCCTGCATTGCCAGAGACTTCAGAATAACTCAAACTAATTTCTCCCCTCAAACAAACCTTAACTACTTTCCTCACCTCAAATATACCTACACTATACCTGGGGAACTTAAAACATTTTCCTATATCAGAATCCACTTATATTTTCTACAATTAAATCAAAAGCGCATGTTTGCTTTTTTTCCTTGACTTTGAACCCTGATCACTGCAATCCGGTAACCATTATTGTGCATCTTATTAAGAGTTAGTGGTGGAAGTTCCTCATCTAGTAGTGCACATCAAACTTCAACCCACTAACCCTGCAAGAATCATACTAAATACAAGTAACACATGTCTTGAGAATAGCTTATCAGTTGAATAGTATACAAAACAAGTAACATTGCATCAGAGGAAGGAGCTATAAGCTGAATGGTATTGTAAATATATCAGAAAGTGAAAGGAATGATATTCGACTAGCAACAGACATATAAAATGGTAAGTATTAATATTATCACACACCTGCTCGTACAAATCCTCCAACTTATTCCTGGGAAGCTTAAGTTGGGCCACTTGAGGCAAAATTGCATCCCACCTTCCACTATTTATATCAGCAATAAATGTCTCAACGCTGTCGACAGTGTTCAAAGAAACCTGGCACTCACTCTGTAATGTTTGAAAGGTTTGGTGCAAGGAATTCTCTTTGCAAAATTGAAGCACGATCTTGATGACACTGAAAGGAAATTGAAAAAAAAAAAAAAAAAATTTCTCAGCACAATAGAAGAACAGAGAGTAAACACGAAAAGCTCGAATAAAACATACTCTCGAGCTTCAATTTCTAAGGTCGACATCTTCTCTGTAACTAGAACGTCGAAGTGTTAGCTCAGAAAGAAACAGAGAGGACAATTAGGGTTTACTGTAACGTCTAGGACGCGAAAGGATAATATTGAAAGAGATGGAGAAGAGGATTCTTTGGTTTTTGGGGGCGTGAAGATTGGGCAGCTGCGCCTGCGTGAGATTTCAGTGGGGAGTGTGGAGGAGAAAGAAAGTTTGAAAGTGATAACTATTGGGCCTAGTCGACAGATGGGTGGTGGGGAATTTAATTCGAAGGCCCAAAATTGCTTTTGTCTTCCAACAAGAAACCCACACGCCATAGTGATTATGCGTTGGGCTTGGGTGCTATTTCCTAAATCTGACCCAAGGTTTTTTAAGAGATTCGGGCTGGGGAGTAAACAGAAGGGGAGATAGATTTTAGAATTGGCAAAAAGTCACTTTTGGTCTTTGTAGTTTATTACTCTCGGAAAGGCTATAATGAGTAGGGGTGGGCATCTTAAACCGAAATACCGAAACCGTACCCTAACTGCACCGTACCGTACCGATTTCATACCGTTTCATTTGGTACCGATAGATATTCGGTACCGTACCGTACCGTACCAATCGAGTATGGTATGGTAGCGGTATCAATATTTTGATACCGGTCAATACCATACCGTACCGAATAGTACCCTATTGAAATATAAACTTTTTTTTTCATTCTCTCGCTCTCTGTCTCTCGCTTGCCTTTCAATTTCTCGAACGCTTTTGTCATTTATGTTTGGATTGTGTTTGTATTTTTGTAAGTCATAAGGCATAAGTTTAACTCTTTTGGTTTGTAAGTCATAATGCATGAGTTTTAACTATTTGGATTTGATGAATATGTTGATGGATAAATATTGATTTGGTTGATTTGGATATTGAATATGTTGAT